TGCATAATAATTTAGTTGATTTGCCAGTCCTGATATGGGTGGGAGGTGGATGAACGGTACCTGTCCCACGACCTTTTTGTCTGTCTGGTAAGACTGACCAAAGCGAGCGAAGTGTCTAGCTTAGCTGTCAGCATAAAAGACAAGAAACAGCGGTGATAGACAGACGTAAAGGTAATGAAACCTTCTCACCAGGTTTTGGCTCTGGCGGTATAAATGAAGAAGGACTCAAGGTCTCTAATTATGTTTCGCTAACTGTTGGGCCAATCAAATCATTTTGACAACAGTACAATTTTGGTTTAAAGGATGTAATGGTAATGGTTGCATGAGATATAGGAGGTTAGCAACAGAAAGATATTAAAAGCAAAGAGGAGTCAACGAGAGAGATTGATTGAAGTGACTCCTGCACTTTTGGGCAAAGCAGGCTGTTTCCATGTCCTTTCATATGCAATAACTAAGCTAAGGCTAAGGTACTCAGCCTACGATGCTTTAGTGTATAAAACTGACGGTGTATGTATTCATCTAACTCGAGAGTGGCAAGTTAATTTGATTCAGGTTCAGGATAAACAACAAATGATTAAAAATGTATTCATGATCGAGTGCGAGTAAACAAGAGTGTGAAAACATTGCGCGGTTTTAATGGGGTTCTATTATCAGTCATTAAAGCCATTAGTAAACCTGGGAAGAAATGTCAGCAATTGACTCACTCCTTGTTGGTATCATGTATCGTGAGGTCCTTTGATCTAATTGTTTGTAAACTCCACCATTGCTCCAGTCATAAAGACTGTCAAACCTGGATTTATACGTAGGATGAGTCTAACTCGTGTTGCAATGCATACAAGAGAGGACTGGACTAGCTGCACAAATTATTTGATGCTTGGGGTGAACAAAAAAAGAAATCCCTTAGTAAATATAACGTAGATTTTAACGAGGCTTGAAGTGATTGTCGGTGCAGACACACAATAGATTTGTGTGTTGTTTCTGGTTGAGGTCATGTGGCTTAAGAAAAATCTGTGCCATGAGTACACCCAGAAACAGCGCACGAAGCCAAGAATGAAGTGTAAAAAAGAAAAAGAGAAAAACTACACACCCTGTAACCTCAACCCACCTGTCTTTTCACACTGATATCCATCATTCTGTTCACACATGTACATTCTGTCAGGTCCAGCTTGAGTAGCGCAGGACAAGTTAGAGAAGAGACGCACATGTCATAACTCCAAAAAAGACATGTGCGTCGTCGCCATGACTTCTCGGACCCGCCCAACATAAATGTGGCTTGTAATAATCCGATTTAATTCCGGGGATAGGCTATTTGTTGCTGGACTGTCGCGACAATGTTCTGCTCTGAGCTGCTGTATACTTCAGCTACAGAATCCATAACTTATCGGACAAGCTGAGTGTAATCAATGCATCATCCTGCTTAGTGCATGCTCGCTAAGGCTGATGGACTGTGTGGTTGTTCAGCGATTAGCTCTGAGTGTAGAGAGCGAAAGACCGAGCCATTCAAATCGGTGAGAAGCAGTGCATTATACTCTCACTCCTGCTCTGACGCGTACAAGCTCGCCTGCAAGCAGTGGATTACCCTCTCAAGTTGGGCTTACCATTTTTTAAATGTAGTATTATTAATTTCATATGGGTGATGTTGTGAATTACAGGGTTTATCTTCGCTGTTGAAGTGATGAAAATGAAAGGAAAGATATACCATGGATAGGAGGGATGGGCGGAGGCGAGACTCTAGAATAACAGGTGTCGGTCTTGACAAGCAACTGACAAGTAATCCAGCACAAAAAGGCTCCTTTGAAGCAAGAACCTGCAATTTAGTCTGGACCTCTGACGCTGCTTGATGTGACCATCGCTCGAGATCGGCTCAGGTACAGTGAGTATTCCTTGAGTAAACGCTCTCTACGAACTGCGAAATTATCCCTAATCCTACGCTCATGCTCGCTCTCTCACACTCCCTCAGATGTGAGCGCTATGCTCCGGTGGCTGATTTTGGACAGGCAGGCATACTAAATCCAAAATGAATTGAAAAACGCCTAATATGAGTGCTTACGTTTTGCCAATGGCAAAGGAAAGGACCAAACTGAGTTTGGCGGCGTGGGTTTGGATGGGTCTCTGCAGCAGGCGTCTCGTGTGGTCCATGGCAGGATGGTAAAATTAGAGGCTGGGCTGTGATGAGGTATCTTTGACGCGGCAACAGGTCATTGGCCCATGAGCCACACAAGCTCTGCCTTGCTTATGTTAACCAGTGCCCATGTCGCTAACCCGTCCCTGTTACTGGCGTGCATTACAAGATTCACTAGGGAGATCACATGAACTATGCCGCCAAACAAACTGTTTGCTGCAGGGCTGTAAGATTATCAAGAGAGGGTCAGGGATATTTGGATAGAAGTCAAAAAAAAATAAAAGAATGAGAGCTGATGAGTTTAAGTGGAGCACAACACGGTGAAACAATGAGGATTGCTGGTTTCATCCCAGCCTGTAAGTCACTGCACGGGGGCAAGTAGGACCACCTTGCCTAAGAGCAGAGGTGGCGCAGTGAGACCCAGCCCCGTTGTTAATGCTGGTACTTGCTCGGCTGACATAACACTAACACCTTGTTCGACAACATATATGGCTCTGTGACACTGTCACACCTTTGCTCAACAAAAACTTTGACTACCACAAAGAAGATTGAATCACAGGAGGATTATTTATAGTCCGTACATCTGTGAAGAGCTAGCGCTTATGTAGTATGCATCCGCAAGACCGCTTCTTTAGAGGAACAGTCTGAAGAAGTCAGTTTTTGCTCACTGATCTCTGTGTCAACTTAGTATGCTGGAAGGGTGAAGGAGCTTGAATCAAAGAATGATTTCTTCAGGTTGCTATGGTGTGACTGGAGGGGCAGGGGCGGATGGGCCGGGCAGTGGGCGGCGGGGGTGGGCTAAAAACAGTGTGGCATCTTTATAGCAGCGAATACGAAAATTAATGTAGAGGTATTTACTGCTCCTCGTAGCGCTCCACCACCAACTCACATTCCATCTGCAGGACATGTTTAAAGGTACTAACAACGAATGCTAACAAAAAAAAAAAAAAAAAAAACACCAGCTTCAATTAATAGGTTAAATCATAAATATGAAAAAAGTGATATTCTAATAATTTTAAAATCTCTATTACAACACTAGTTTCACGTTTTTCTTATGGTCAAATGGGCACCTGGGTTAGGGTTGTAAAAGGTACAAACCTGTTTACTGCTCTTGTCATCCATCGATTATATCAGGGAGCGCCCTTGAGGCAGGGTGCTTCCTGAATTGCGTCCAGGTGCAAGCTGCTTGAGTAACTGGGGTTCTAACAAGCGAACGCCTAGTGTGTGCTGTGGATGTGTGGAATTGGATATATATATAATGAGTTCATATAGTTATAGTATGACATTGTAATATATATGCGTTTAGTATAGACTAGCTGATTAGTGATAATAGTAGAAATTATGAATATGTGTCATCGCTAGCCAGAGTTCGCTTCAAGTTCATACTTAACTCTGCTTCTCGCTCTCTCACTCACAACATCACACCACACCACAACCACCTACACCTCAAGACAAACACACAATTTCATTAAAGCCAAACATTCAGCTTCCACCAGATCATACCCTTACACCTCTCTCTCTTGCTCTCTCTCTCTCTCTCACACACACACACACACACACACACACACACACACACACACACACACACAATGATGCAGGTGTTTCCACACTGTTCAGATGGAATGATTTATTCATAATCATGATAGCATAATAAAACAATAAACATTGAAAGCACTGACAGTTGAACCCAAGGCCTCTCACACATAGCATGCACCACCCCGACCCCAGCGTTCACAGAGACACTGAACATTCCTAACGCCAAGAGACTCCTGGCTCCTGAAAGTCCTCCTTTTTTTAAATTCTCTGCCCCAGTCAGTTTTTTCCTTGTTCTTTTTTTTTTAATCCTTTAAATATATTTTGATATAAAAACAAGCCCACATATGATGAATCAACCATGTTTGTGAACTGCCTCTCCCCCTTCTCCTCCTGTTATTGTCCTGCCCCCCCACCGCTCCTCCGGGGCTGTCTTGGTTGGAGGACGAATATGATACTGGCTCCCATGTCCTCTCTCTTCCTTTTCACGTTCTCTTCTTGGACATTTGAAAAACAAAAAAATCCAGTCTGATGGGGACATGGTGGAGGTGGGGGAGACAACACTAAAAAAAATGGTTTGATAACCTCCCTGAAAAAAGAAAGCAATAAAAAAAGATTCCTTAAAAAAAAAAGTAATTAAAAACAAAATAAACCACAACAGTCCAATTGAAAGAAGTGCTGGAGGGAAGTCTGGAGCTCTGTAGACTGGAGGCACTTTGGCACAGAGCGAAGGCCCCACACCTGACACCACGCCGAGGGGAGGGAGGGAGGGATCGAAGGAAGGAAGGATGGAATGACAAGAGAGCTGGGCTGAAAGGCATGCTGAGCCACATGGTGATATAAAGAACAAGGAATGATGGAAGGGTGAGGGGAAGAAGAAAGAGCACCTGACAAACGTGGAGGAAAAGGCCAGCCTCCCCTCCAGTTAATGCCATGTCCAGGAGAGGAGGAGGAGGGAAGGAAAAACTAAGAAAGAGAAGAGATCTTCCGGGTAGAGGAAGAAGAGAAACTTGGACCAAGAGAGAAGAGATAGAGAGAGCGAGTGAGCAGCAGCAGATATAGAAGGAGGGAAGAGCAGTGGCCCATCGAGAGAAGAGGAAACTGTCTGGCAAAAGCTATACAACACAAACAGGAAAACAGTCCTTCTATGGAAGCAGAGGACGGCTGGTGGACGTCTGAGGTCAGGGGAGGGGGGCACAGTAAGGCAGTCCCACAGGTCAACAGGCTGGGCAGGCAAGAGGAAGGCGCTGTGGTCCCTCTTCTTCTCCTCCTCCTCCTCCCACTGTACGGTTGCACTCGGCTGCGTCTCGCCCCACCCTCCTCTCCCCCCCCTTACCCTCGCCCCCTCCCACGCCTCCTCTTCACAGGTAGAGCTCCTTGGCTCTGATATGCTGCAGCTTCTCCCTCAACATGCGGAAGGAGGGCCGCACCACGGGGTCCAGGGTCCAGCACTGCTTCATCAGATCATACACCACGGGCGGGCAGCCGTCTGGGGCGTCCATCTTGTATCCCTTCTCTACCCGGGGCACCACCTCTTTCAACGGCTGAGACACACAAACATAACAAAGTTAACATCAGATTCTCTAAGTGAACTGACTCAAATGCACCCCAACATCCCAGGCAAAGGCTTTTCTCCACAACAACAAACAACTAAAGTATGGTAATGGAAATGTAACAAGAGATGAAGCATGAAGAAATAATTAAATTCATAATTTGCAGCACATAACGTGTCACATTTTCATGATGTGCTCCAGCAGTTAAATGGCATAAATCTAATTATTTTGAGGTCAACTCTGACGACACAAGACATTTCATTCAAAATAAATAAATAAAAAATAAATAAAAATACTGGTCCCAGCAATGAAGCCTGCCATCTGCTGGTACACCTCAGACCTCAGTGATCCACAGAGACTTGGTGTTCAGGTACTTACAATTCTAGGGTAAGGCACGCGCCCAAAGGAGTAGATCTCCCAAAGTAGGATTCCATAACTCCAGACGTCCGACTTGGTGGAAAACCTCTGTTGGACAAAAAAAAGAAGAAGAGGAACATAAATTCATTCAGAGAGCAGCTAGGTTTATTGTCTTCTTCTGTCCATAAAACCTGGATCTTTGTTTATTTGTTTAGTGCTATTTCAGGAGTTCAAGTGAGGATATGTGAATATGACAATAACCAAGTGATAGTACTGTAACATTTTTTGCCCGAGTCTATATTAAAAATGTAATAAGTGAAACCAAACATGTTCAAACGTAAGCACAGGCTGTAGAGAGTGTGTACGCGCAGATTGAAAGAATAAAAGAAAACAGAGGAGCAGCAGCCTCTTCATTAAACTGCACAGTTGAGCTTCTGCCGTTACAGAAAGTTCAGTCCACCTGAACTGATTAACAAAACAGCAGGAACAAACTATTATCCAAAATCTGCCACATTTATTTTATAAACACATTGGGGCCTCATGCAAGAACCACTAGTGCCAATAGTTCCGTTCTTTATTGGCACGTGTGACTGGTTTAAGAGAACTTGTTTCATTTGCCAAGTTTGAATTTCCTCTTTGGTACAAACACAATTCACAAGATCTGTTGTATGAGTCATGTACTGATAGTCTGCCTCTCTTCATAGGATGATTTAAGAATGAGAATGCCTTAATCTGAATGTATTTACACTTTCTGATTATATTGGCAGGCAGTTAGCAAATTATTCAGTTCAGCTGCCCAACTATCTATATGTCTGCAGGTTTCTGTCAAGTAGAACATCACTGACAGAATAATATTCTCTCGTCCAACTCTGATACAGTCACATCCTCTTGATCTCCTCTCATCTAAATTGCTTTAGACGTTTTATAGCATCTAACTTATCTCAATGTGAATCCATTCCCTCTTTATTTCTGTCAAAGTACGGTGCTGCTCTGATGACACCTCGTTGGCAGCTGGATAATCTGTTCCAGTTGTTCTCGGTCCCCTAATATGACTACCGACACTGCCACATTTGTTTGCTTGTCTGCTGATTTTTGACATTAAACTCTGCAGTGTGACATTTTGCTTTTACTCAGAGGATCAGGTAGCCTTATTTAACAATATAAGTAGGAATTGTCCTACTACTTTAAATCTTACAGCCTGAAACTCAAGTTAAAGTAGGTGAAAACAAATGCAAAGAAAAAAAGCAACAGCACATCAGCCCAGGTCTGCTGACCGTCCTCTCTCACCTTCTCTCTTAGTGCTTCAGGGGAGGTCCACTTGACGGGCAGCTTGGCAGTGTCCTGTATGGAGGAGGCCTCCTTGGTGAGGCCGAAGTCGCTGACCTTTGCGATGTTGTCGTCAGAAACCAGCACATTACGAGCTGCCAGGTCTCTGTGGACGAAGTTGTTGGCCTCCAGGTACTCCATGGCTTCACACACGTCACTGACGGGAGAGATGATGAGTGAGGACGGGATGACTAAGATAACTGGACTGTACATGGACAAATCTGTGGCTGCGGTTATGACTGTTATACCAGGACAGGGTAAATGATAACTAAAGTGGAAATAGAATTAGTGCAAAATGATGGTGGAGGCGGGAGGGAAAAAGCGGACTCTGATTTAAATTGTCAAGGGACAAACAAGAATTTTTAAAAGTAGTTTATCATGAAAAGGAGCTAAATCAATCTTCCTTCGCTTTGCGTTCATCCAGTTAAAATCTATTCCCATGCAATTTTCTAACAAGTTCATTCTAGGGTTACATGGCTCACACTGAAAATTAATCATGAAATTCTTCCCTGTGAATGCATGTATTTATGCCTACTGATCTGAGAGTAATGGCTGTGCTCATTTTAACTTGTGTGGGGGTTACAGCATGAGCTAAATGACTGTTAAATTAAAAATAAATGAAGACTTTAAGGCGCTTGACTTGAGATAAAGCAGCCGTTTATCAAGGCAAACAAGCTGCATGACGGTCGCTCGTGTGAACAAACAGTTCTTTTATGTTGCCAGTCAAGTGTGTGACACCGTTCTTTTGAAATTCATTTCGAATCCTGTCATCTAAAGAGCAACAGCTTAGCTCTAGACCCGTGCCGATTAAACATTTGTCTTTTTGAACAAATTTAATAAGTGTCTGTACAAAGATGAAAAGGACTCACAGTGAGAACTTGAGTAAGCAGTCTCCACCCAGCACGGTCCGTCCTCGAGAGCGCAGGTAGTCCACTAGGCTGCCCTGTGACACAGTTCACACCATTAATACAACATGTGGAGAAGACCACACTTTATCATGGGTGGCTCCAGTGAAGAAAGTGTGGAATGTGTTTCAGTTTTTACAGTATTTCAATTCACAAATTCAAACTATGGGGTGGCTACAAACACGACAGGGTTTTGTCCTTTAAATAGGACTTTTGTTATTTGGAGTTGCTGTGGAGAAGCTGTTTAAGGTATTAGTAATATTAACTTAAATTGTTGTCATTTTCAATACCATTCCCAAATGTTTCTAAACATTTAAGGGGTTGTAAAAGAGGTTTTACGTGTTTCTCTTGAGAAGAACAGCTAAAACATTAGTGAGACTGACCTTGGCCATGTACTCTGTGACGATGTAGAGACTGCCCCTCTCCTCAACAATTACCCCTAGCAACTGCACCAGGTTGTTGTGCCTCAGTTGCCTGGACAAACACAGAAACATAACAAAATCAAATTTCTTCAAAAACCTGGGAAAAAAATAGCCAGTGACTGAGGACAGTGTTACATTTAAAAGAGGACAACGTGCCTGTGTACACACAGACACAAACATATTTCACATGTAGTGTGAAGGACAAAGAAAGAGCTGCAGGATCTTACGTCATGACGGAGGCCTCAGCGATGAAAGCCTGCGCTGTGGCGTCATTTTTGATACACTTGACCGCCACCTTGGTCCCTCTGTAGTCTCCGACCATCACATCTGTGAAGGATGCAGACAAGGTGACGTTTCAGTACAATATCTGAGACGACCTTGGTCTATATCATCATTATGGCTCTGATGTATGAAATTAAATGATGTGGAGATCATTGAAAATTCAATTCCTCACCTCCAAACTCCCCTTTGCCAATGGTCTGAATCAGTTTAAGTTCCTTTCTGTTCAAGGCCCAGCCACCTGCCAAGAGAGGACAGAAGACACTTAGCAGACTTCACAGCCAGAGAATAAAATCATCTGCCTGATTATCAAACTATTACTCTCATGTGTCATTGTACAACCTCCAGGGAATAGCATGTATTGTAAAAGGCAAAAATATGTAAAATGTATTGTTATTCGACCAAATTTATAAGATTGGAAGTAAAAAGTTGAAGACATCAAAGAAGCAGAACTACTAAACTATTCAACAAATGCATTAAAATATTCAGTGGTGAGTTTCACATTCATGGCAGCTATCTTCTGGCCAGAGCAAAAGTCCCACTTTATGAATGATGGATCTCTCATTTGGGAGAAAAAAGTCTTGATTTATTGCTACATTTATCTTTTTTTCAGTTTTCTGGTGTATGAATTTGCCGGGTCAGACGGGTACATGAGGAGGAATGAGGAGAGACAGAGGTGGAGGAAGACTCAGATTGACCTTGAGAGCTGGTGAAGCCCAGCAGTCGTCCCCAGACACAGAAAGATTAATTACCCTCTGTTGATTAATGCTATTAGGACTTGGGATGATAGCAGAGCTTTGAAGAAGATGCAGGCTTTGTCTGTTTATTGTGTGTATAAACAGACAACCACAGTAATGTCCCTGTGTGCATTAGTGTCCCTGTAGAGCAGTGTAATGAGCTGAGTGTGTCCTTACTCCTGGAGAACTCGTCTTGCGCTGCCACTGTTCCCTCCATCAACTTGGGTTTAATCAGCCTGGTACAAAGGCCATCAGCATCTTTGGTGTAATGCTGGAGACAGAGGGGAAGAGAAATAAATACAAAAATGTTAATGCCGAAAGAGAAAGGTCTGTATGTTTAAATGTCAGAAAACACAATGAAAATCCATGTGTCTAAATCTCATTGTCTAAATCTAAAAGAATCAAATGTATAAAAGCCTGCACTAAATAGTAGCTCACTCTTACTCCAGCTTAGACCTAGAAGCGTGATCAGGGACTGATGTTCATAAATTAATCCTGATGGATGAGACTGTATACAAGCTTTTGATATATAAAACAGAGCAGTGGCTGATGTTTTCAGCTGCGCTCCTCAGAAGAACATGAAGGTGGTGATGAAAAGAAGCCTCAGACTGTGCTGGGAGTTGATGTGAGGAGCTCCTTCTATTTGATATGTTTGGGATATCAGTGGTGTTCGCCTTCACCAAAGAAATAAAGCATGAAAGGTTTAACTTTTATCAACACGCATCAAAGTTAAAGGTTTTTGTCTTGAGGGACAAAAGAACCGCTGTCTCATTTCCATACAAAAGATGAAATAAAACAAGAGGAGGAGCGAGGCCTTGCTTTATTGTAAGCTGTTGCTGCTGGAAATCAAAACGAATAGATTAGCAAACATGATGGAGGTTCTTTCAATATGGAGCGAATCTCAATTTTTAGAATGACAACAAGAATTTTACCCAAAACCTTGGCTAACTGTTGAAATGATCAATCGATCCTCAAAATGTCACAGAAAACTAACCATGAAAAGAATAAATACAAGCCACTAAAATCCAAAGCACCTGCACCGCCCTCACACAGCTGTAGTGGTGTCAAGATCACACGAATGAAATGAATAAACTTCTACTGGAGATCCACAGTGTTAATGTCATCTAAAGACTCTGCAGTAACTCCTGTGCTGGGAGGTGTGGAGTTGGGAATCATTTACTGTGGGAACCAGCAGCAGAGTGAGAGTGTGTGGGTGTGGGAGAGGTCAATGCATTTGACCTTTCACCCCCAGAAACACAAGAAACCAAACAAATCATCTTAAAAATCAGATTGGACGTCAACAATAAATCAGGCAGACGTCTCATTTTGGAGATATTCAGATCCAAGAAAAGAAATAAATCAAGTGCTTTCAAATTGGAAAGATAGAAAAATGACAAAATAGAGACAAATAGTGCATCACCGTCTTTTGGAAATACAGCTGAAGTCACACAGGACACCAAACCTCTGTCTGACCACTGAATGAATAAAACAGCAAAAGGAGAAGAAGCTCTCTCACCATCAAAACCAATGTTACACAACTGCAGCACAGCAGAGCTGACCCCAGTGTGAGTGAGTGTGAGTTACTGTTACAACCACCAGGGAGCAGCATGGTGAAGGAAGGGTCAGTCCCCCCCCCCCCCCCCCCCCCCCCTTTTTTTTTTTTTTTTTACATTATTCAGCACTGAAGCTGACAAATGAAGCCACAAACACACAGACTGCCTTCAGCGTGCTACGGAGATGTAGCTACATCATGTGTTATCACATTTGTTGTTTTTCTATATCATCGTGGAGGATGTTAATCTTTTAATGCATGAAAATATTTTTTAATTACACAATGGTCCTGGAGAAATCAAGATCTTGCTATATATAATTAACAGAGAAGGGTGTAACCAAGGGGTAAAAATACAAAACAGGAATTGTAGCTGACAGCACATTCACTGTGCTCTTACAGCCCTCTAAATACTATATGGAGCCATCTTTGTTTCACTTCACCAGTATCACTGCATACATGACTGACACACATAACTGACATACATACATTACAGGAAGGAGGTGGGGGTCTGTCGGTATATATTTATGCATATATGCTGTGAGTCTATATTTAGGTCTAAGTGAAGCCTGCTGTGACGGGCTAATAAGAGCAGGAGAACAAGCTGGAAAAACACAGAAGAATGCAAGGAATCCTCTCATAGGCTATTATAGAGAGACAGACAGAGAGAGAGGACACAGGGGAATTCAGACAGAGGAGAGGATGAGGATATAGAAAGACTGAGAGAAAGAAACATAAGGAGGCAGAAGCAATGTAAGAGGTTGAGATGGATAACAAAGAGAGAAGGAGAGAAAGCAATATGCCAGGTATACACGAGGGCACACGAGAAGAGGAGGAGAAGGAGGGAGGCGGGAGATGGAGAAAGGAAGTGGAGGCAGAACCAAACCTAGAGTGTGTGAACAAGAGAGAGAGGGAGAGAGAGAGAGAAAGAGAGATAGAGAGAGGGATAGAGGGATAGAGAGAGATAGAGATTGTGGGGAACTGATGATAACAAGAATGCACCAGGGATGTAGATAGCCTCAGTGCCAGCTGGCACATTCCTGTCGTCCACTTCCAACACCCCGCAAGGCAAAGAGATGAGGTCCAATTAAAAGTGTGATAGCCGCCAATCCAGCTCCTCTCTTTATCTGAGAGGATGAAAGCCTCCCCCCCCTCTCCCTCTCTCTCTCTCTCTCCTTCCCTCTGCTATCATGTCTCCTGTCTTCCCCTCTACACACTCTGAACTGGCTTTCAGATAACCGAGAGGGAATGAGAGGATCAGACAGCTTGTTGAAGAATGTGAACGTGAACGTTTGTTTTTTTTAGGGAATCTCCCAGTGGACATCGAATGTGTTCATGTGTATTTGTGTCTATGACGTTATGTAATCAAGCCACAGCACAGTTAAATCACAGTAATTAATATTTAGAATTGTAAGTAAAAGAAATAACACATGGTCATTGGAACAGTTCTTATACTAAGTTTTTTTTTTAAAATAGTTTTGACTGTTTTTAAGCATAGATTGAGAATAGGAACAGACAGGATGTTTTGCTTGAAAGAAAAGTCAATACAGGCCTCTGGAGCTGCAACAATCATTCTGAAATTCATCTTCAAATTTCATGTTTTGTCCATCACTTAAGACAAAACCAGCAGCAAATCCTGACCCCTGAGAAGCTGCACCGCGGGGAATATTTTGCTTGAAATAATCGAATTATTATCAAAATAGTTTCTGATTGTTTTTCTGCTGAATGACTTATCTCTTAATTAACTAATCATGTCAGCCCTACAGACTTCCAAAGAAGAAAAAACTCTGATGTGGAATAAAGTTTATGGAACAGCTGTATTTTCTGCCACAGCGGCTGCTTTAGGACAGAAAGCAAGTGTAAAAAAAAAAAAAAATATGTATGTGTATTCATGTCACCTTGCAGTTGTATTTTCACAGATGGTTCACTGATTGTTTCTGATTATGGTATGGGCTGGAAGGGGAGTGACTATGGGAGCAAAGTTTGAGTGTATGTGTGTATGAGTGTGGTTGTTTCTGCGTCTAATTGTCTTGTATAGTCTTGTGTTGTATTTACCTTTATTATGATTTCCTACTATGATGTCGTTTTTGTGTTTCGTTTTGTTTTGTATCATCTGTAAGGACCCCCTTGAAAATGACATGGGACATCTCAAGGGGCTATCCTTGTAAATAAAGAATAATAAGAATAAAAGAATAAAGCATTGCCAGCAGCAGCAGCCTGAAAACGTCGTCGTAGACAGGATGCTAAGAAGTAGTCAAAGGTTTCATTTTCTTACGAACAACTTTCTTTACAGTCTCTCTCTGTGGCTCAGCTGAACATTTTGTGCCTCACACTTCACACCGTTATTAACTTTAGAGAACGATGATCAATTGGCACTGATAATGACAGCCAATTACCCTTTTCAGCAACCACACTGAAAGCCAAGGGTATTATGGGTATCAAGAGTATTGTGTAAAGAAAAAAAAAATAGGAACTTGAATGGCAGCTATGTTCCCATACGTCCCTCACCTCCACCAGCTGCATGAGGTTCTCAAAATACTCCTCCTCGTCGATGGTGAGCTTGCCGTTGTGGTAGATGATGCGGTAGTGCTCCACCTTGCCGTCGCAGCTGACGCACAGGGTGTAATCGCCGGGATAGTTGGTGCTCTCCCTCACCAGGAACAGGCCCGTCTCTGGAGGGTAGAGGAGCCGCTCGGCCTGCTCCCGAGTTATCTTCCCATGAAACCAGCTACAGGGAGGGAAGAGAGGTAGAGACGGAAGGACAGGACAAAGGAAAAAGGGAAAAAGAGAGAAAGGAGGTGATTATTTCAGATTATAAAACTGATAGTTTGGATGGCCACACATTATCATGGTAATGTTTTCATTTTCACTGAACTCATTTGCAAATTCAACCAGACAGAAAGCTTCACTTCCACCTATCCCAGCCCACAGTCCTCCTCTGAAATGAGAAGTGAAAAACAAGAATGGGGCGGTAATGGGAAGCCGGCAGCACTTCCAGTCTGTTCAGCTCGAGTGGAGCAGGGGCGGGGCCCGTCTGGTATTGAGGAGTCACTGAGAAAGTACCTGAACCCCAACAACAGGAAACATGGTGCGCACACACACACACACACACACACACACACACACACACACACACACACACACACACACACACACACACACACACACACACACACACACACACAAAGCCTCAGGGCAGAGGCAGAGTCGGAAACTGACACGCAGGCATTGCAATAACAGGAAAATGCAAAAACTGCTCAGACGATGTGGTGGATAGGACAGAACCAAGTCACCCGCTCCTGACTGAGGTCAGGGAGACCAGGAGATGGGCTGACTATTTAACACACTTTGGAGTAAAAGGAGGACAAAAAACCTCAAGCTTGGGCTGAATGAAAAAGTTGGTCAGAGTTCTGCTGGTTTGAACTGAGAACAAATAAAGCTCTTGCTTCCTGAATTAGAAGCTAGCTGTATAAGCCTGCTCCAGCCTCACCATATGGCCTGGGGGATACATCTATAGACTACTAATGGATGGGTTACACTGTCATCTACTGCTCCATGGTCTTCATAAATCTCCTCTATTCTAACACAGATATTTCTCACCGTGAGTTCCTACCTGTAATCTGCAAATGTTTATGTGTAACGGAGTATCTAAGTTTACACTGTAAAAACAGGCGGATTATGACAAAAAACGGAGTCCCATTGTAAGGATTCAAAATTTCGACATCTCTTCCTGTCTGCCTCTACAGACCTGTGGCCCCGAGCTCAAACCCACTGCCATCCCAGCAACCTCAACCACAAACCAGCGCACCGCCCCCCCATCGATATGTCACTCCTCATGTGAAAGGTTGCGTTAGCTGCAAACAGTAGCAGCCCACAGGGTCTCTCTATCCGTCTTGGCCGGTGAATGGGTGGTAATCAACAGCTATAATTGATTTAGCCCATTTTCCTGTGGCAGCCTCCGTCACTCCTTCCTCCACCTCCTACTCCTCCTCTTCGTACTCGGGCTCCTCAGACAGCGAGGCCCTTGTGGCAAAGCAGCTTAATATGGGTTGAGTTGATTAGATCAGTGCAGGCAGCTTCTCCGATGGACAGCAGCTCCTTAACTCCCACTAATCCGAGAGCAAGCGCCAAGCTCCGATGGCCCAGAGAGATACATATCCCCTTGGTAGACACACACTGGTTGTTCTGTCCATAGAAATTAGCTGCAGTTTTTGTAAATTACATCACAGCAAAAAAATGTGGTAAACAACTTGGTGGAAACAACAGGGAACTAGGAAGTAGAACAGAAGGGCTGAACACCCCAGCTTTCTTTAGGGTGGTGCTGGAATTTGGCGCAGATGTCTGCCACATGGGGGCAGCAGAGAGAGCAGGCTGTTAGATGCCAGTGAGGAAGGCGAGGACTGTATCTACTGATGAGTATTGAAAAGTCAGGGTGAGCATGGGACAGTAGAGCACAACTGAACCCTTATGTGACCTAGAAGAGAGGGAGAGGTCTGCTCTGAGACATCTGTTAGTCATACATAACTAAATCATCAAGTCCCTGTGGGTTACAGCTGATGCCTCCAGTCCAGAGGAACTTCACTGTGCAGTGATGTCAAAGGCAGCGGTCAGGACATGAGGTCAGTTAAGTGTAATCAGGCAAAAGGTTTGTGAGACTATTCATTCCAGTAAGTGAAATCAAATGTAGAATTTGTGACAGCAGTTAGTCGGCGCTAAAAAGTTGTTTTATTCCCTAGTATATTACCTGTTGGTGTCGGCCATCAAAACTTTATATTCCTCTAACTAAAATAGATCTAATCAGAGCTTTAGCAAAGTTACAGCTAGCATTGGACTTTAGTTAATCATACTGTGTGCAGGGCTAACTAAACTACTCCCTGTCCACACCATGTTAAAGACGGTGTGCACAGGCAGTGTGAGTGGCAAAGGGAGAGAGTCAAACTTTCAGCGGCAGGGGATAAAGCGAGACAAAGAGGGTTAAAGGCTGCTTAAATGTTACAGTGTCATACAACCAACTATTGTGAGCTCCATAAACAATGCTGAAAGGACCACCACGCTCATGACTATTGATCATTGGGCAAACTCCCTTTGTAGTGTAAAGATTTCCTCTATGGAGCACAAGCACAGTTCACTGTGTTGTCACACAATGTTTCAAAGTCCTTAATTAAGTAGCTAATGAACATCACCTAATACTGTCAAAGTAAAACATATCTCTCAGGAAAAAACAAAAGGAACAAACACAACGACCATTTTCTCTAACACAACATTAGAATCACTGACAAACTGAAGTAAATGTGTAAATCCAGCTGAGGTCTGATGTAATGAACTTGGCTCCATCCATTTCAGAATAGTTCACAGTGGAGCATATCTCGCAGTGCATCACTATTCCCAGTAGTGTGACCATCCTCTTCTTCTAACTCCACAGTTCCTGACATTTACCACTGAAGTTGAAAAACTTTCTACTAATCTGTCAAGTTTAAATACTGTAGCAGCCAGTACGCTCTCAGCTTCCCCGTCTCCTCTCATTTGCATATGCCTCTCGTTATATTTTCCTCCTTTTGAAATAGCAGCAGTTTCAAAAAGCATGATTCAAACATAGCACGCAGCTGGTCCTGGCCTCTGTGGCAGCCAGACAGCAACAAGAGAAGGAACAGTGAAGACCAAAAGACTGTAAGAGATCGAGTTTCCATCTTTTGATGCTTTGTCTGACTTTTGAAATCAACACTATGTTTTCACTTGCTGCAGGGAACAGAAGTGAAAGGTGGTACAACAACTTGTTCACACACTTAAAAAAAGATGGAGAGCATATGTGGCAGTGAACAGAAACACATAAACATCTGCAGTTATCATCTTTAATAATACTGTCTTATTCCTGTACTGCACTTTGGCATCATGTGTCATTTTCCCATAATGTTCTTTCTAAATACAACATTTCAGTGTTAACAGTCTACAGCTATTCATCATAAAAATGATGTGTAAACACCATGACAGTGTAAGACATTCATTTTAAACAATGTCTGAGTGTGAGCCATTCAAGAAAGCCCATACACACACAGAGACACGCAAAGTTTAGTTGGGTTTCTCCTGTTGCCCCTCTGGTACTTACGGCATAAGACTGAGTTTCCCTCCTGACTTGACTCCTTCCCTTTTCTGGACATAGTTAGCTGGGATGGTGCCCTCTCTGCCCACTGTGTTCCTCGCTCTGTACCAGTTGGGATCCTGAAACAGCCAAACACGAGACAACATAACTTAATTATCGAGGTATGCAGTCATCTCAACATAAACCAGAGTCATTCTCTAAACACACTGAGTTGGTAGCAGAGGTAAAGCTGTTGGATTAGAAACCTACAGTACTCTGCACATATTGCATGGATGCTGCAATCCACTTCATCACCACTGGTTCAACCTGACATTTGTGGGAATAAGCTGCTGCAAACAGTGAGGGCTGCTGTATTCTCTGAAGCACAAATGGGAACCAGAGGCTCTGGCTAGAAAAGAACTGACTGTTTGATGGAATTATATTCACTCACATTGTGCGTTTTTTTTCTTTTAGCGAGCAGCTTGTTTGTTTTGTACATGGTAGCTCTGATTGTTAGCAGCACGTTGTTGTGATATTAATTTGTTAGAACGTCAGCATTAGGGGGTAAGCTTTTAGTTGTCTTTTAGCATCCTGTTTTCACTGTGAACTGCTGGTGCTGGATCATAGTTGAGCTTGAGATATGACACACCACTTTCAGTTATTGGTGTTACCGTTTGCTGAAACAGTTCAGTATTGTGAAATTGCTACGCTGGCTATTACGAGCCAGAGGAGGAAGCTGTCCATTTAGCTTTTAATCATTAATACACTCTACATTAGTTTCTGAGACATAAACAGGAACGTGGGTCAGGAACATTTATGCTGACATAGTCGTTCAGATACCTATATGTCAGTGATTGATGATCAGTAACTGGGAAAACTAAAACAAACAATATTAACCGTGCAGCCTCGTTAAGAAGTAGATTAAAAAACTTCTGAACACTTGACTCATTCCTCAAATAATAATCCTTTGGGCAGTTTGAAAAATTTGGTAAAATGCGCGTTATTGACATATTGAAAGTTGTGTGCTCAGCCACCGGCTTCCTTACCCTGGTGACTCCGATGATGGTCAGTACATCTCCTTTACAGAAGGGCAGGTCCTGTTCGTTGGCAGTCTGGAAGTTGTACTTGGCTACACACTCTGTGCCAGTCGACCATGGTGCCTGCATCACACAGGACAGAGAGGAACCGACATTAATAACAGTGATTCAACTTTAGCTCTGAGTTTAGCCTCAGGAGCTGAACTGAGTTATTTGTGCGAAACCAGTTACAATACTCAACAGCAAAGTCAAAACTAGAGGTGAGAAGACACTGAGGAGGGACATGGAAATAATTAAAGAGGGCAGTAAGTTCTATTTCACAATGTTATGACATGATTGTTCTGTCACCACGGCCTCACAGCAGCACACTGCTGGGTTTAAATCTTTTGCATGTTCTCCCCAAGTTTGTGTATTTCCATCCATCTTCCAGAGATGATTTGTCATCTGTTGTGAATGAGTTTGACCTGTACAGTCGACTACATAAAAGCCAAAAAAACCACAATAAACTAGAGGCTATGTTGCGATAGGATCACATCAGCAGTGACGCCCGTCAACATGTCGATGTGCTAACCCATGAGTACTCAGTGGTTATTACTACATTAGTACTCATGGGTCAGACCACACCCACCTCCCACACCCCACTCAGCCTTCATTTTGATTTCAACTACCCACGTAAAGTTTTGTAACTGTATCTTACATGATCTATCGTGGTGACAAAATAAACAGACAGACATATAAACATCTGCCTAAGTACTCTGTGGTAGTTCCCGCTACACAAGCCGTCTCCAGGACAACATTTTGCCATGATGACACACACACAGACTCACAAAGTGAAAAAAATACCAGCCATGCTGTCATGACTGCTAACAAATTAATACCAAAGACTGGATTCTTCTAACAGATGTTTAAATAAAAAGCAGAGGTCTAAATGCACGTAGAACATATAGTAATTAAATGTATCTCTGTTTTTCTAGGTGTCCATCTTATCAGTGCACTATTATTATTCATATTGAAAGCTGTATAATAAAACTCATTTACAATTGAACACATTTAAAAATGTGAATTAAAGGCAACATAACGTAGAGTAAGAACTTGAGATGGGAGCTACTGAGATCTGCTAAACTTGTTAAACTTTGCAGGAATTCAGCTGTTTGTTTATTCTAAATCCTCCATTGCTGCCTCATTTAGTTGTTGAATTTCATCAAAATGGACAGTTTTCAAGTAAATTAAGCTTAGGCTAACTATATACATCTCTCCAACTAGTTACAGCCTTCTTGTTACTGCAGCTTGTATGATACAAAGTTGGGTCTCTGAAAACACACATTAAATAAAGACACTACACCAAAGTGACTGCCTCAGAAATTTGCATTACTGAAAACTCCTTACCAGCGCTTGCTTTGAAACTCATCAAAGCTATTAAAGCTTTATACTGTAGTTACCCTCAGTCACTCTGAATACTGTAAAAATGGCAGCTACATGCCTAATATACACATGTAAATGACGGCAGCGGTGAAAATGCTGAGTCTATTTAGTTTCAACATTAGATAAGCCCAGACGAGTGATCAAAAACATGCCTCAATAGAATGAATGAGATGAAATGAAAAAGCAAGAGTACAAAGCGGCAGATGTGACTGAGCGAGTAGGGTCCTTGTACAAGCTGCTTTATTCCATACAAAACACAGTACAGCTGCATGTGTCTGATGCAGCCTCAGTCAATACGGCATAATGAGTTTGGACCACTGCTGACAACCGTGTCTGAGGGTTATGTAGATAAAGAGAAACCTTTTCTTTTCCGCTGTTATTAATTTCCACGTGTGGTCACTTGAACCAAAGGACTTCACTGGACTTATGAAGGTCGGTTTTGCTGGAGAGAATGACTGCTGGAGAAATTTCCTTGAGGATCTTTAGTAATTTAAAACATAGCCTAGTACAACACACAAAGCAGCTGGGGAAGGAAATCAAGGCCTAAATTTAACCTGAAGTTACATTCACATGTCTTAGAGACAACAAAGGCTTTCCACATGCCTGTTCCCTAAAAGGAAAGTGCCACTAATCAGTCAGTGATGTAGGAATCTGACGACTGAATATTTTTAAATGGCATAGTCAAATATTTCAGAGGTCAACTACATAAAGTACGTCATCATTGCTCAACAGGAAGATGTAAACCATCATTCAGCTTTCGTTCACTTCTGGAGAGACATTCAAGTCAGTGTGGTGGTCTGCTGATGGAGGCACAATAGCTACTAAATCTTTGAACTTCTGTGAGTTGGTAAGACAACCAATAGGTCACACTTCTGCTCCTCATAATTTTCTGGGTTAAGAAGGTCCATGGCCTTATGACATCCTTGCGGACACCCACTGTTTGACTTTAGAAACAGACTGCCATCACTGGAAAGCCAGGACCACACTGACTCCATCATGCATTTATTCTGCAACAAACCACAGTCTGTTATGTCCTGAATAATCTGGCATGGTCGACGATTGTAGCATTACAACATGATTAATTACTTGCAACTTAGATTGACTGACAAAAACATGATGGAAACTTCAGAGAGCGTGAGAAACAACACAGAAGAAGAATAAATCCAGTGCTTGTCTCACAGCCTGACTCATGCAGGAAAAACACTGAACTCTCTCGTTTGATGTGATTGTGTGTGTTTTGTTGTGTTATCGTGTGATTCAAAGCATTTAGTGGGATCACAGTGTTGGTCTTTCTAAATCTTCCTAAAAAGGTGATTCTTTTTTAAATTTTTTTTAAGATTTTCACCTGACTGTAGTGAAACACTGCGCTGTGACAGATGAAAACAAACTGGATCGATAAGGACATGTGAAGGCAGAGGATGTAGGAGAGACAGTAATCCCACTCTAAGGCATCAGTTAAACCACTGAGACAGCCTGGTAATGTGAAACCACCAAACCTGAGCTGGGCACTTTGATGGATGTGTGCACACCAGCGATGTGCATTAACACAGAGCTGGAGATATGGATTTCTTTCTTGCACTGGTTCCCTTGTGTGTGCAAATGTGCATATGCACGTGCATGTTAGTGAACCTCAACACACTGTTGTTTGGACAAAACGAGACATTTAAAGATGTCACGTTGACTCTATGATGGAAGTTTTTACTATTTCATATAATTTTAGAGCAACTAATTGACTCAATCATCGTTATTGAAAATAATCATTCCAAATCCACATTTGACCTTATTACCTTCTACCTTATTAATGTGGCGTGTTATCCATAGAACAGCTTTGAGCTTTGAGTGTGACTTCATGTGAGTGAAGTGGGGATTGCAGCTTCACAGTTCAGTACTAATTAGGAAGCTTCAGTGTGGGAAAGGGTTGCAGACAACAAAACACAGGCAGGACCAAACAATGGAGAAATTACTGAGCATTACAGTTGATTCTTGATGTTGAAAACAGATCAGCACCGTCAAAAACCTTGACAGATCACAGAAGCGTGTACTACAGTGTTGTTTTCATCTAGAGAGAGTGAACCAACTTCCAATATTAAACAACAGTAATAAAACCTGAATGCTGGTATTAGAGAAAATTACCCACCAGGTTTATTCATTTGAACATTGATGTTAAACAAAAGACCTTAAACATGAACTTCTTTACTGACAGTGCTTATATAGATCTATACATGCATTTTTATCTAAAGCGTTCATACTTAAGACATGTGTGACAGAAGAATATGCATCAACTCCTTCAGTACAAATATTATAACAACTGACATTTCAGAGAGTAAATGTGAAAGCCACTGGACCCAGACAACATGCATGTCACCCAGCAGTGGAGACATGCTGCCAAATAAGTATCAGAACAAGAGAAAAGCCCATTTAGACAGATAGAAGCTTTTGTTTTTGTTTTTAATATTATGTCAGGTTTAGTTTGATTAGTTAAAGAAAAGTGAACAAATGCTTTTCCTTAGATGATCATTGAGATCGCTGTTCTTCTAACTGTGGTTTAAAAAAAAAAGTAGCAGATGCTGACTCCAGAGTAGATTCTTGTCTAGATGTGTGAAGTTGTATGAAATGTATTGTTGAAAGTGTTTGCCTACTGGAGCACCTGTAAAGACCTGTATATTGGATAGGTAAAGGTAAAAAATATGCAATTTGTGCTTCACTTACGTGGATCCCAGACATGATGAAGGGAATTGGGCAGCAGGTGTCCTCAGGCAGGTAGCGGTCAGTGTTCAGCTCGTACCATCAGAGCTGTAAGAAAAGAAAAAAAAAAAAAAAGGCATTAGAAATACAACTAATAATCTGTTCATTTTAAAGAATGAATGTTAGCTATATACTTATCTCTTACTTCAGATAATTATGGATAGGGCTGGGTTGAAAGAAATCGATTCTCTGATTCAAATCGATCTTCATTTGAATAATGAATATCGATTCATAAAATCCTGAGATCAATCTTTTAATATATGCCTTTTACAGTCTCCCGTGGATGGGCTCATACACATTTAATGTTTTTAATAATACCAGATTAATGGTACAAGTAACCACATTAGTTCTTACTCTCAAGTAAAATTGCAACTGCCATTGCCGAATCGATGTTGAATCGAACTGATTTGGAAATTGCATCAAATTGGGACCTTGCCAACTGGAATTGAGTCAGTTCGGGAAATCAGGGGCAATACCCGGCCCTAATTCCTGATCTATCTTTGTCTGTAAAATGTGCATGCAAGTGTAGCTGTTGTTTTAGAAAAGACCTCAGCTGAGAATGTAGTACATGTCCACAGAAAACAAGTCACAGAAGCACAACTAAATAACCACATCTTGCCTCCCACACCGGCAGCTGAATGACCTTTTCAAATGACCTTACTGTATTTCTTTTCTATATGCTCCCTCTACAGTCAGGGTGGGGATTATATTTAACTGGGATAAACAGAAAACGTGTAGCAGTATGTGCTATAATCACTGGTTCTGGTGTAAAATGCATTTTAACTATCACATAAAGAAAACCACAAGCATCAGTGCATCTTACTGCATGTCAACCAGTGAGGGTACATTTGTATTTTATGAAAAGGTGTCTGGAGATAAATGAGTATGTGGATTAGTCAAAAATGTGTTCTAGCTCTAAAATAATAGAGGCACTGTCTTTGGTCAGCGGTTCAAATCCAATAACATGCCTGGACTTGCATATGTATCCTACCAGTTTCTGATTTTTGGTTCCTTTGACAAACAAAATAAGCTGCTGATAAAAGACAGCTAAAAGACACATGGCTATCTGAGAGGTGGCTTTCTAACTCTTTAATTATAGTAATAATATAGTCACTGGATGCAAAATATGAAATTCTGAAAGTCTGTTGAGCATCTTGCTTCTGTAGCCAATTACTAGACTTTTAAAAGGTGACCTTGATCCAGTGACAAGGAGAACAGGGGGGGGGGGGGTTTGGGGTACAGAGAAAGAGAAGGGGGGGAAGAGGGAGAAAGAACATGGAGACATAAACTGCAAGTGATGAGAGTGTGTGCATCTGTGTTTCAGTTTCCATGTGTGGTTGGGTGTGTCAAAGTGTGTGGCTGAAAGTGTGTATAATAATGTAGAGGGTACTGGTGTGTGCCTGGGAGGGTGTGTCTCTACATCTGTGCCTACATTAACCTATATGTGTGTGTGTTCTATTGTCTTTTTGTGCAGCTGGAAACTGTGTGTGTGTGTGTGTGTGTGTGTGTGTGTGTGTGTGTGTGTGTGTGTGTGTTTTTACATGTCTCTTATATGTCACACACCCTTAAAGGGCTTTTTGATTTCTACTGTAGCCCCTCATCGTCAGAGACACAGTGATAAATCAGTGCCAACAAGCTAAATATTATCATAGCTTGATGGTTGATCCATAAGTGAATAAAGGCTTCCCGCAGTAGCCTCCATTCAAAGCATCTCACTTCCGACCAGGTCAGAGAACAGGAAGTTGAAATGGGCAGGGAGGTGAGTAAGAAGGAGGAAGTAGCTGCACATATTTTTCCAGCGTTTCATATGAGGATGGGAGGGGCTGTAGTTGGGAGTCCAGTGTGAGCATGGGTACTCTGGTCACTGCCTCCCTTTAGACTGACTACAGCCACTCTTAACAGTCAGGTCACAATAGATCAATAAAATGGTGAATAAAGCACTAAAACAAGTTAATCATAATCCCAACTCAAAATGCCTTCTTTAACCTCTCCCCTCACTTTGATTTGCCCTGCATTAATAGGGCCTATAGCTTTCACTGTGATTTAGTCTATTTGATGGAAAGTAGCTGAACTTTTTGTCCAGTGAACGTAAGCCAGTTGTTTCCCACCAGCACTCTCAAAGTAACTCAGTGCACTGTGTAATTTTAGACCCATGAAAATGATGCATCTCCTTCAGAGGGCTTGGCTACTGGCTGGCATGCTCTCTGAGAGCATCTATGGCCAAGCTTCAATGCACTGCCATATCCTGTGTTCAAACAGGAAACAGCCTAATTGCAGACCATTGCAGATCTGTATGCAAACTGACAGAGCCAAATATATCCAAGGCCAGGCTGCTCCGGTGCACCCGGAGGGCACGCGCTTCTTTCCCTTTAACACTCTTTACGTCTAACGCACTGCTGCTGGAACAGAGCAGTGTGGCTCGCCAACCCACAGCCACACGAGCTGGACAATATAGGAGAGGCAAATGAGTGCTATTCTTAATGCTCTTCAATGCTGAGGAATGCCTGCCAGCTATTCAAGAGCTTCAGCATCACACTGCTCACATCACTCTTCTTAAGTCAGTCAAGTGGTACTCAGTAAAGCCAGTGAGTGAAAAGAGTTCTTCTTCAATTCAATTTTCTATAGCAGACTGCAGAGCAATGACACTGTCTACACTCTGGCACAAGACTTCACTCAGTTTCTCTCAGAGAAGATACCCATACTGAGAATGAATGCATAGTGACACCATACATGTTTGATGCTGAGAAAGAGGGTATAGTAATTCTCCACTGAATATCTACGCATAAAACCAAAGCTGTGTTCAGGCTGATAATAGTAACGTGTCAAAAATATAAAGAAAAGAAGTGTGTTTTAGGTATGCTGCTCGAGTTACCTGTCAGGAGATGAAATATGAACCAGTAAGCCTAGTTTGAAGCTTATTACACACCAAGACACTGCACAACAGTTTATATCCCTTTGAGACAGGATTTTACAACTCTGGAAAGTTGTCAGAGCAGCAATATTTTACTTCAACATTATGATCCTCAGTGCAAAGGATTTTACTAGGTGTGTGTTTGCATCGATTGCATCGGCTTGGATTTAATACAAAGCTCTGGATACAAGGGGGCTGATGATGCCCTGCGTTGCGGGAAATGCCAGAATCAACTTCTCCAGATTTGCCTGTATTTTTATTTCATTTCATGTTAGCGTAAGCCCTCTGCTGTGGTAGTCCCACTTTATGAATGCAATGGCTTCAATGAAATGAATCAGGGGCCTTGCATTTTTGATACAGTGCTATTATTAGTCTCAGCACGGCCTAATAATTTTAAAATCAAACCAGGATCAGGGACCAGCTGAGCACTTGACACCAGCACCAGAGTCTTTTTAATAAAAAGACTAACTTTATGGCTCATCATCATATGTTAAGGTCACACATCAAAGCGTGCATTTAGCATTCTAGTTCACCCCAGCTACCAGATATGCCACACACCAGTGGAAATCACTTCCTTCTCCACTCCCCTCCTCCTAATTTCCTCTCTCTGTGCGACAGGAGATGCTGGTGACAGTGTCATGGCAACACACCGACCAGCAGTCTTTGAAGTAGTACTTCCCAGAGTGCAGCACTGCCTTTTCCTTCGCTATGCCAGATGACAGTAATGTTACTACTGTTTGTGTCTTATGTGCCATTTCCATTATCACTAGGATTGTGTGCTAAATCATGTTGTACTTGAACTGTCTCCAAAAGTCTTTGTGCCTCATATCAACCTACTGCACAGGAGCTGCTTTGGTAAATCGAGATGGACTTGATAAAGTGAATGCGGGGTCCTGTTGCTTGTTTACTATCTACTGCGTGCCTGTGCGATCTCGTTTCACCACATTAATATTTCCCTGCGCTGGCTGTGCCTCTGAGACATGTTCTTGATATCCACTGTACTTTGAGAATAAAGTAATATTAACCTTTGTTTCTGTACAACACCAGCATCCAGAATCCTGAAGCTACACCGCTCTGCTCATCACACAAGCATAGCTACAGTCAAAAAGCATCATGTATCAGCTATGTGTCTTTGCTATAGGCTGGTGGGCCTTGCTAAAGACAGGTCTTCCTGAAGATGGTGATGCTTCATTTTGTTGAAAGAGAAAAAATATATTTTTTAAAGTAAAAGAAGGTTTAAATTATAGATGATCAAACAATAACTTTAAAACTGAAGGTATGCTGGTGCTGGGTTGATTCATGAGGGTTTCTGCTTGTCATATCTGTCTGACCACACCTCATTATTCAATGTGCTTCTTTTCACTTCATGCAGTTAAATTTGTTCCAGTTTAGAAAACATTTTATTTTGTTGTGATTTTACACCATAGACATACAAACTGCTCTGACACTGAATGAGAAACTGACTTGATCCAGTGACAGTACAGACAATAACCATAGAGTAAGAGCACATTCCCTGTTTCATTAATGTTAACACTACCAGTCTCCCTGTTCCTTGTCAGTGAAACAGCTCAGAGATTTGTCACTTGATGGAGTTAAGCCTCAGATCTCCACAGTTCTGCTTTAGCAGCACATTACAGGTTATAATTCTGGGCATTTATCTTACACTCTAATCCAAGTCTTATTAGCTGACACTCAACCCAAGACTCACAGTGCTCTTTGTACTGGACACCTACCATGTGCAAGCCACTGTGAGAATGTTTAGCTGATTGTTGCTCTGTCAGCTTTTCCCTGGATAAATAAACAAGTTTAACTGAGGCTGCTGTTGTCAGTTTTCTAAAACTACTGTGACAAAGCTGTGGGTTATGTAAAAAGAAGCCTCTGCTCTGAGGCAGGCCCAGGGCCATTCACAGATTACAGTGCTATTAGCACAGTGTCAAGAGGTTATAAAACTCTGCTTTTACTTGGGGTGACAATTTAGCATGGCCCAGACATATGTCTGTTTAAATAAGGATGTCATCATTTGTCCTCGGCGAAATTCAATTTACTGAGCCAGCATTAAACAACAGCTGCCATCACACAGCATTAACCAGTAAACAACATTCCCATCATCTGGTTGGTCAAGTAATGTCACACAAGT